TTTTGGGGGTTTCAGTGTTTGGGAGTCGACTCGCAATTCTGGGGAGTCAATTAGCCAAACCTCAAAAAATATGGCCTTGCATGCCCCTTGGAATCCTGTTTTTCCAAGGAAACAGGTGTCTGAGGGGCGGGTGGGATTGCACACCAACCAAGAACCAATATAGCTCGGTTCTTGGCTGGAGGGCATCTTAACCTAGGGGCAGGGCTTGCAAAACTCCCCCCAAGAGGTCATGGGAACCTAGTGAGTATTGATTCAGGTCCCCATGGTCTCTAAAGAAACAAACCCTAACAAACCTTACCGGTATCAATTGGTAAGGTTCCTTGTTTGCTCGGATATTTTTCTCAGGTAAGAAAGGCTCCCTCTCCTCCTTGGGAGGAGAGAGAAATTTGTCAATATCAAGTATTGATGCAACACTATTAGCCAAGAAATCACGCAAGATCTCCCTCCGCACACCCAACTTCCCCTACCACTATCAACCACTTTGGCATCTGGATGGTTGGCATAAACCCTGTGGCTAAGTTTGCTCTTTGAACCTGGTGAATTATGATTTTCCTCTCATAAAGATCCAAGAACCAAGTGGCTAAGAATTGGCTGGTTACACTTCAATGCCCCAGTGATCCAAAAATGGTCGATGCCCATGCCTACTAGCCAATTCCTGCCCAAGAATGCAGTCTCCAGCCACCCCAATCAGCTCAACCCTCAATGAACTCACTCTGATCTCCGCGGTTCCTACCATGAAGCTGCCCCCGGATCTGCTGGCAAGACCAAGCTGGCCCTGTTTGCTAAAGCTTTGGGTAGGACAATCTCCCAAACTGTTTTGAATTCTTTGGTCTTGATTGTTTCAATATTGTTGCCTAAATTCAAGCAAGTGATGGGATTTTTAGGGGTTGAGTCTTTTTTTTCTTCTTCCTTTGTGCCTCCTTAATGTTGGGAACAAAAATGGAATTCTCTCATTAACCAGCTTTTCTCTTTTTACACTCATTGATATGAATCATAATAGGCCTTTGCAGACTTTGTAATTTGTACCATTCTACCCGTCTTGGCTGAGATGATAATGAACAGGGGCCAAGGAAGAAGCCCAACTACAAAAATAATCAACAATGTCCTACTGGTTGTTTCTGTTGTGATAGAGGCCATCGGAACAACCTACTCATTTCTGCTGGCCTGAGAATTCTATCTATTTTTTTCAATCTTGACATTACCTGTCAGTCAGACTACCCCAAATTATTTGTATTGTTATTCATCCTCTTTTTACTGATGTTTGTTTCTCTAATCAATTTTTTTGTGCCTGCTTGCTTGCGTTGCTTGTCTATGAGCTGCAAAGGCATTGGCCACATGTAAATCAAGTGATCATCATTTTTTTGAAGCACTAATAGAGTAATCAGTATGAAATTAATTGGTGTTACACATTCATCTTTCCTGTATGGCACCTGACCAAGGCACTAAGGGAAGGTGCCAGGGTCCATGTGCGCGGATAAGATTGGTTTTGGACAGGCACAAAATAGTCCTGGTTAAGTCCAAAACAAACCCGGCTATTTTGTGCCCGAAGCAAAGTTTTTCTCCACATCTCTTAAAGTTCACACTTCAAAGATTCGACACAACTTTCCTTCATCCGCAAAAACCAAATCTTATCTCTCATTCTCAACTCTCTACAAACTTTACCTAATTTATCTTTATAAATTTTCTCTCTCTTTCATTAACACCAGTCCTCTCACTTAAAACCACACACACAAACGCATCAACATGGTCGACGCAAACAACACTAGAGCAACTTCAAAGAAGATCAAAGACTCAGAGCATCTCCAACGGACCCGCGATCGGGCCACCGGGGGCGAACTTTGACCGCCCGACTTCAATTTTCAACATCCAACGGACCCGCGGATCGACCCTGAAAACATCGCGGGGGGCAGTCAAACCCGCGATGACCTGCTGACTTCCGCGGGTCAGCTCCCAGCCGCACTGACCACATTTCACTCAACGAGTACCAACGTTTTCGATTATTTAAGTACATCACCTCATTTCAACTCAATTCAAGTACCTTACATCACCTATCGAAACCCCAACTCACTGTTCTCCAAGGAAGCAAAAAGGAAAACCCGAAGCAGTCGCCACACCAGTACCATTGGAAACATCAATCAACCACGGAGGATGAAGACAACCCATCTTGCTAGCTTCAAAAGTTGTCTCCTATTGTTTTTTTATTTGTCTTCGATCGCTTCCTGATTTCATTTTTTTATTTTACAAATGGATTTCAATTCTTTGTTTTATATACAAACAAATTCATGTTATTTACCCTTTACAGAGCATAAAACAGCGAGATAGCAGAAATCAAGAGATAGAAAAATGTAGACAAGCAAGAGAGATAAGGAGCGAGCAAGAGAAACATGAAAAGGAATGATGAGATCATCGAGGGTTGGTGGATGATATGTAGCTTGGACAGCCGTCACAGTGCCAGCCCACAATTGGAGCTGACCCGCGACCCCTGTGAAATGTGGTCGCGGGCCGGGGAACACAAGTCAACTGCCCCCCGGACCGCTAGAGATGCTCTCAGCATCCTCAAAGAACAAGAGCGATGACATATCAGTAGTGAACGCGTTGATACCCACGACACCTGGTTTGAATCCTACCAGTTCGGTAGCGAGCAGCACCCAAGCCCACAGTGGCAGCACGTTAAGCGTTTCCCAAGCCCCTAATGGCAGCCCTTTGGTTGGCACCCAAGCCCTTAGTGGCAGTCCGTTGAATCCCTCGAACAACGGTAACGCGATGGTCAAAAACCCCATCCCAAACGGTAAGCTTTTCAAAATCCCATTCAAAGGATCCCCCTTTTGATAGAAATACCCAGAGCGTTGAAATCCGCAATAACAAATTAAAAATAACGTGAAAAACAAACTTTTTTGCTATGATAAATTAGACTCAGGAGTCAACGACACCGCATACTCTTTGATAATTGATACGAGCGATTCACGCAGAGACCGAGCCCCAGTGGCGTCACTCTTCCATTTACCCAAAGCAAAGCCTGCAGAAGCGGCCGCAAACGCTGAAGAAGAGGAAACCGAGGAAGACAACTCCCCAGGTTAGAGCAGAGCACACGATTTTTCCCATCTCGTGTAGCAGAACTCATTTCGCAAATTGTTGATGCAATCCCTGATACCGATAACAGACATCGCCGTATCCTCCGTTATGACAGAGAGACAAAACATGTGGCAACGAGCGATAGCAGCGCAAGATGCGGGTGATACGTCCCTGGCCGAGATGCTTTTCAACGCGATAGGCCGGATTGGCGCAAGCCAACCCTTGATCCCTGCCCAGAAAGCGAAGGCAAACGTGTTCGCGGTACCAACCCGTACACCATCTGGCGCGGTGATATATCAAGAGTCAGCCCCCGTGTTACCACCAAGCGAAACGCCGAATGGCCAGACGCCGGAGAAATTTTTCTTGACAGAGGGAGACCTCGTCTACGCGATCGGATCGGTAACGAACCACAACAGTGTGGGTTTCGCACCGTTCCTAGATGAGAACATTCGCAAGCTCAGATCGCCGTTACCACTCACAATCTTCAATCGTAAGTGGCAACAAAGAGCCATGTCCTATCACCTAGACCGACGTCATAGATCGGACGATTCGTCTAGCGATAAGGAGAAATCAGGAGGATATAAAGGTTTCGCCTTCGTCCAAGAATGGACTCAAACTTACGCTCAATGGACTAGGAATCACCGGGCTTTTTGCAAGACACTCCACGACGTCTACAAAATAAAGAAATTTTCAAAGTTACTCGCAACTCACAAAAACAATTGCGACAACATAACAGAAGAATTTGGCTTCATGGTCGCTTTCCGCTATGATATGGAAGTGAGGAATAACACATTCTCTCACAGAATCACTGACAAAGACGTAAAGAATGCTATCCCTGATATTTCTCAACAAAAAGAATCGGTGGTCGAACAGTGCTACAACGTCAGCAGGAATTTCGGAGAGCTCGAGTGGGAGGAGAATCTGTACGCTCCCGGTTTGTCACACTGTAACCACGACCCCTTGACCGGTTACGTGAAAACTTCAAAGATGAACAACAATCAATATAGCGGCTATCAGAATAACGCCATGATACACAACCCGATCTCTCATGGGCAATGGATCAATCATTTGCAAAACAACTTCAACAATAACGGCAATGCAAGCAACGGCTACGGCAACGTCGGTAACTACAACGGTAGTAGAAGCGGTAACTCTTACCAATATAACGGAGGGAACGGTAACCCAAATGTCAGTAATAATAAGAGGCCCAGAGGGGGTTACCGAGGCGGAAATTACTCAGACAATTTCCAAGGAAGAACCGACGGGACGCAACAAGGGAAAAAGGGAAACACAAACAAGTAGGTGAAAATCTTTGCCTGTACAAGCAACTCGCTGCATGCCCCTAGCGTACGAGCCCATGAGACATTTGCCTTTTTCCTCCTATTTTTGCACACAATCTCCGTTTATCTTTAGAAACGTGATGATCTTGTTTTCGTCCTAATCGTTGCCCTTTCTTCCGCACCTCACTAAGTTCTACGGAACCAATGTCCCCATATCTATGAGAATTGCATGTATTGATTCATCTGTGTTTTTCTGTCTTTCCTTATCTTAATGCATCGCTGTTTTTACGGCTGTTGATCCAAAAAAAAAAAAAAAAAAAAAAAAAAAAAAAGGGAGGACGCGTCAATTTTGAATTGGCCTTCAGGGGTGAAATGTGAGATGAACATCTCCTTGTGGAAAGATTCTTTAGAAAAGGCAGGTTTGCTAGGAAAATACCGCGACGTATTACACGGTTTTGAACATGGTTTCGATCAAGGGATACCAGACCATAGAATCCCCGGTGTGTCATGGTACACACCAAACAACCATCTGTCAGCCAGCCTAGCAGTAAACAAAATATTGTCGTCAATGGAGAAAGAATTAGAAGCTGGGCGGATGTTTGGACCCTTCTCCCACAAAGAAGTAGCACAAAAATTCAGTTTTTTCCGGACAAGCCCTTTAGGAGCAGTCGTGAACGGGGACGGATCCGTCAGACCCATCAACGATTTATCATACCCACACAGCGATCCGGGGGTGCCGTCCGTTAATTCATTCGTGGATAAATACGATTTCCAAACAACTTGGGACGATTTCAGTACGGTAGCCAAGTTTTTCAAATCCTTGAAAGAACCGGTACAGTTGGTGCTTTTTGACTGGGAGAAGGCCTATAGGCAGATCCCTACTCACCCATCTCAATGGCCTTACTTAATGGTAAAAGGCGTCGACAACAATTTATACCTCGATACAAGAATAACCTTTGGAGGCGTCGCCGGTTGCGGTTCTTTTGGAAGACCGGCAGACGCGTGGAAAGATATAATGGGGTCAGAGTTTGACCTCATCAGAGTGTTTCGCTGGGTCGACGATAATTTATTCATCAAGAGTCTTTCTTCAACTACAGACATGACAGATATCATTTCCAGGTCTATAGAGTTAGGTGTGCTAACCAGCAAACAAAAATGCACAAATTTCTCAGACGAGCAGAAATTTATCGGATTTCTCTGGAACGGAATGTCGAAAACAGTCCGATTACCACAAGAAAATCTGGAGAAAAGGAAAGAACAGATAGATATATTCTTGATCAGAACACGCAAATTCTCTTTTAATGAAGTAGAAGTCTTAACAGGAAGACTGAACCATGTGACTTACATGTTACCACAACTTTGATGTTACCTGAGAAGTTTATATAGGTGGCTAATGGACTGGTTTGATCTAGAAGCCAAACGATACACACCTCTCGACGTCGTGGAAGATTTGACAGAATGGAAAGAAACTTTGCGAAGTTTTAATAATACCAGGTTGATACCTTGCCAGGAAGCGACAGACATAGGATGGGTAGGCGACGCGTCGACTAGTTTTGGAGTAGGGGTGATAATCGGTAAACACTGGAGTCAACTCAGAATTCTTAGACAACGTGCCGGAAACGCACCGAAACGTAATATCGCATGGTTGGAAACTGTAGCAGTCAGGGTTGGCTTGATTATGCTTCATGTGATGGGACGGATTCGCAAAGGGTCCAACTTATTGGTTTGGACAGATAATACAACTACCGAATCCGTTATAGAAAAACGGAAATCAGGGGACAAACATGTCAACAATGAGTGGAAGGCGATACAGAAATTTTTAATCAATGAAGAAGTGGACCTGACAGCGAAAAGGGTCAAATCAGCCAACAATATCGCCGACAATCTGTCACGAGGGTCGTCGGGCAACCTGAGACAGGAAAACAGGGTCCTGTTCGAGATTCCTGCCAAATGGAAATTGTATCTTTGTCATGCTTAGTAATTCGTACTTCTTTTTAGTGTATATAAATTCTTTTGTTATCCAGGCGTGTAAAATCACCCTCCAGTTATTCCAACTATTTTTCTGTCTGAATTTTTACCTAAAATTAGTTCTTGGTTCAAAATGGTATAGAGATCGTTCGTTCGTACTCGGGTACCTGTTGGTACCTAGGTACCTGTTGAATTTTTTCAAAAAATAGGTACCAAGTACCGCACCAGGCACCTCCCGGCGGGTACCGGCGGTACTTTTTGCGGGTACCGCGGGTACCTCCCCTCTCTTTCTAACCTAGGTTCACTTTCAGATTACCAAGTCACTTTTTTATTATTATTTTTTTCATATCTATTGTAAAATATCAGTCCCAAGTCACTTTTTTTCCATTCTTTCATATTTATTGTGAAATGGTCACAACAAATTGGAAGAATCCTACTTTTTTATTATATTTTCATATTTATTGAAAATATCATTCCCAAGTCACTGTTCTTCCTTTTGTCATATTTGTTGTAAGACATCTTAAACTAATTGGAAGAACCTGACTTCACTATTATTATTATTTTCATATCTATTGTAAAATATTACTCAAGTCACTTTTTTGGCATTTTTTTCATATTTGTTGTCAAGTATCTACATCTAATGGGAAGAATCTTGCCTTTTTTTCATATTTATTGTAAAACATCAATCCCAAGTCAATTTTTTCATTTGTTCACATTTAATAATTTATTTTAAAGCTTAAACTGTCTACAAATTATATCTAATTAGCAACGGTGGGCCGCTACACTAACCGTAGCGGTTAGTGTAGCGTAACGCAGCGGAATCGCTGTTAGCAATTAGCGTAGCGTAGCGGAATTCCGCCACGACACCGCTAACGCTACGTGTGTGGGCCGCAAAAAAGGGCCCACTACGCTGCGCTACAGCGGTTTTTAGCGGTTTTTGGCCGTAGCGCAGTGTAGCGTAGCGAAAAACCGCTAACACTACGGTTTTTGGATGAAAAAAAGCGCCGCTACGCTACGCTTTTTGGGCCAAAAGCGTAGCGTAGCGTAGCGGCCCACCGCTGTAATTAGATTATTAGAAGAATCTTCATTGTTGTCCAAAACTATCACCTTCCTTTTTGATTTTTGGTTAGACTTCTTGTTATCCTTGAGTCCCTGTTTCCATGTAGCCAAGGTACCTTCTTGGAGTTCTTGGAGTAGAAGGCCACCGTCATTTTGGTAGGGAAGTGAGGGGGTACCTGTAGCGGTACCTAGGTACCTGTTCAATTTTTCACAAAAATAGGTACCAAGTACCGCACCTGGCACCTCCCGACGGGTGCGGGGCGGGTGTGAAGGGTACCCCCCAAGCGGTACTAGGTACCTAGCAAAGGGTACCGCGGAACGATCTCTAAAATGGTAAACTCATCTGAAATGGTAGATTCATCAGAAGACATAGTAATAATAGATAACGAGCGATTAACAGTTGGACATTTAAATAAGATAAAAGCTTTTGCAGCAAATGGAACAACTCACTACCCTATTTCTACGCTAAACGCTCATTTATTGAGCGGTTGGAAGTGGAATACTATTCTCGGTTATAATGCTGCAGTTAAAAAGTTCATATTCTTTAAAAACTTATCCGGAAATCACAAATTCAAGTTACCGGCATCGAAGAAAGATATTGAGGATTTCTGTTTTTGGGCAGGTAGAAACTTATATTTAAATAACTCCTATAAAATATCAGCCCCATCAATTAAGAAATACTTATGCGGACTGAAAGCGTGGCACACTTTCCATAGTGAAGAATACCCGGAGATAAGCGACAAAAGAATCGAGTTACTCATAAAGGCATCGTCAAGAGTAGATGCTACTTTACCAAAGAAACCGAAGAAGCCACCTATCTTACTCAAACACCTAATTTGGCTTGCGAATGCGTTATTCCCCGGGGGAAATATAGATAAAACGATTATGGACCTGGCGATCGTTTCATTTTGGGGGATGGCACGTATTGGCGAATTTACTTACGACAATACTTTAGGAGATTTGAATACGGAAAATGCGGTTCCAACCTCGGACGTACGATTGGTCAAATCGGCGATAGGCAAAAAAGCAATTATAACGGTCAGAAACGCGAAGACAGCACAACCTGGTGCACCTCAAGTAATAGTAGTTCATAGTTTAAAAAACATGCTTTGCCCTGTACTAGCGTTGAAACAAAGACTAGACGAGGCAAAAGGAGAGAACACGTCGCTGTTTGGTTTTTACAGGGAAGGAACTAGGCGGCATTTAACACGATCCATAGCAGTAAACCGGATCCAATTAGTTCTAAGAGCAGGTGGTTTCGAAGGCCTTCTAGGACACTCGTTTAGGGTTGGCGGCGCCTCATTACGACACGCTTTAGGCACTCCGATAGAAGAGATCTGTCTTTTGGGCAGGTGGATCTCAAGCTGCTACCGCCTATACATTCGAGAATACACGGCGGAAGATACTGAAGACAGCAAAAGAATTATCTCAGAATTGAATGACTTGTGGGAAGAGGATTGATTTTTGTGTGAAATATCTGAATAAAATCGGAGAAATAGGTTTTGTCACTAGGCTCAGGCTCCTATTTTAGTCTAGAAATTTTACACCTGAGTAGATGGCTTCTTGTTCCTAAACCTATTTCATTTCCTATTTTTGAGATTAAAAGAATGAAAATAAAAAGGATTTTCTTATTAAAAACACATTAATCATTTCCCATGGTCCCTAGTAGATCTGATTCCATACGAGAATCCAGATTTAGTTACCATCCCACACTCCGGACAGCTGGAGGAATTTATTCCACTTCTGCCCTAAGAGATGTGCTACGGCGCATCTCCGACAAGAGTACCATAGGAATGATGAGCGCTAAATGGATGTATGGCACCTGACCAAGGCACTAAGGGAAGGTGCCGGGGTCCATGTGCGCAGATAAGTGTGATGATATGATGTCAGCCTTAGAGCCAGCCAAGCTGGCCAAAAGACTGCTTAAGTCCTCCCCTTTCAGCTATGTTCCTACTGTAACTTTTTTATCTGAAGATTTTATTACATTCTGGATTCAGAAATGAATTCCTCTGTTGATTTTAACCTGAGTCACCACTACACGCTTTTACACTACTCTTCTCCTTCATAGACTTTGTAATATTTCACTGTACCTTGTGAAATATCAACCAAGTTGGAATTCCAACTCTCTACCACATGTACATGCTTTGATTATGTAATCCAACTCTGAAAATTCTCTCAGAGGATACTGAGTTCCCATTTCCAGGATTTTCAGACTCCAGACCACCCAGAAACCACAACAACCAGTACCAGATCCAGCTCACACTTATCAACCAGAAGAACCTTACTTTTCCTGCCTTTCCCACTACTCAGTGTCATTGGTGTCATCAGTAAGTTACTTCTTTAAGTCCAGCTAGCATCTTCCTGCTTGTTTTCTTTCTCTGTCACTCTCACCTTTTTCTCTCCCTTCTCTAAACCAAAAGCCCTGATCAACCAAAGCTCCATAAGCTTCAAAGATTCTCCTCTTTTCTTGTTTGGTAGTAAAACTGAAAACTACATAGGTTTCCCTTTAAAGAACCTTGATCATCCCTGATCTAAAAAATTGTGGTTGACCTGATTTATCAGAGTCAAGTACCCATTTCAGTTTCCTTTGATTTGGAGGCGTAGAGTTAGCTCCGCTTATAACAGCTACCCTCAGAGGAAATAAGACTGTCAGAATCTTAATAATCATCACAAAACAAACAAACAACAAAAAGATTATTCATTTCTTCTCTTTCTCTTCTCTCTTTCTCTTCTACTTTTACTTGTATTTCCCTTCTCTTGAGAAATACATTTAAAAGTGCCCCCCAAACCTTGTGTCCTGCAGTCACTATAGAGACCCAGGCTCACATATGACGCGATCTCTTTATTGCAAATCACTTCAAACAGCCAGTAGTAGTAGATAGAAACTAACAAGTGAAACAAGATAGTGAAATAAAGAAGATCATTTAGAACCAACAACTCATAAGACACTGAGAACGAAATAGAGGAAACTCAATACCAACATTAGTTGTGGATAACTAAGTAACGAAACTAAACAGTTCGATGAGATTAACACGACGAAAAGACTTGAGAACACAACTAGACACCAGAAAATGTTTTAGTTAACAATGAAACATAGATAACATAAACAAGAGAAAAACAGAGAAGAAAACAAACGATTAAGCTCCTTAATTGATGCCGTTTTCTTCCTCCTCCTGAATCGGTGTAGTTGTTTCTGGTCTGTGTGTTTGAATCGAAATCGGCAGTGAGTTTACTTGCTTATTTATAGTTGAGCTAATGTTTGAGTACCTGACTTCTTCTAGTGATCTTGATCTTGATGGTTCCGCAAACTTGAGATCTTCTTCACTAGTTGAATGTGAATGACAAAAGAGAAAAAGAAACTGCCTCTTCTGAGACCACGAGCGAGAACACAGACTACCTTCCACCACAAGTCCCTCGATCAACAACACCTCCAACTCTAAATTTCCAATTCCAACACTCTTTCACACGTGCGTATTACCAAAACTAACTGTATGTATCTCGGCTACATAATTACTCTCTCAACACTCCTCCTTAATTAGTAGTCACGAGATGCAGTTGTTTTTGAGCAATTGCAACCTTGATGAATCCGAGACATTTTGTCAAAATATCCGCAATCATGTCGTCAGTCGAAATATCCTCGACAGTAAGCTGATTTTTAGCGACAATATCCCGCAAGTATTGATACCAAATTTCAATATGTTTCGAGTTTTCAGACAATCTGAGTTCCTTGCTGATTATAACCGCACCCGCATTATCATTTCGGATACACGGAACCCCAACTGGCACCTTCATGTCAATCAATAAATTCTTCATCCAACGAACTTGCTTGGCACAAACATTGATCGAAATAAATTCTGCTTCAGTCGTAGATTGAGCCACCACTGACTGTTTCTTCGACTTCCAACAGATAACATTTCCTTGAAACTTGACCACATAGCCAGTTGTAGACTTCTTATCCGGGCTTGACATCGCGTAGTCCGCATCCGCATAACCAACCAGTTCCCTAGGGATACTATGGTCACGAATTTCAATCCCAAATTTCATCGTCCCCTTGATATACCGCAATAAATGTTTCACTAGGCTCCAATGATGCTGTGTAGGTTTTGACGAGTAGCGAGACAAAAGATTTGTTGCGAACGCGATATCTGGCCGTGAGTGTATGGCCAAGTAGTTGATATACCCCATTGCCTTCTGCATGATTGCTGCGTCAAACGGAGTCGATTCGAGTTCCACCTGATGAAGTGCATTAGTTGGAAGCGGTGTGCGAACCGAATTGGCTGATTCCATGTTAAATGCCCGAAGAATCTTCTCAACATACGCCTGATGATGAATGACAACTGAATTAGCTCCCCACTCCAAAGTGTACCCAAGATGTTGCGTTGGTTTTTCTTTGACTTTTATTTTATACGCTTTCTCGAGCTGAGACAGAACTGAGGTAATAGTGGATTTGTTTTGACCTACAATAAGGCCATCATCCACATACATGTGCAGAAACAGTGTTCGCTCGGAGTTAAAAAACAACGCATCGTCCATGATCGACGGAGTGAGTCCAAGAGATTTGAGTGTGTCAGACAGATGTTTCTTCCACATCCTCGGAGCTTGCTTCATCCCATACAACGACTTATTCAACTTCCAAACCCAGTTCTCTTTACCAGGAACCTCAAAACCGGAAACCTGACGAACGTAGACATCCGCATCCATTTCTCCATGCAGAAAGGCAGTCTCGACATCAAACTGAAAAACCTCCCACTTATACGTGAACCGCAATCGACAGCATAATCTTAAAGGTTTCGATTCGCCCAACCCGACGCATATGTCATATAATAGTGCTTGTTTGGTTCTTGATGATTTCCAAAACCGACCCATCGAGCTTTAAACGAATGACTTCGTTGGCTTCATTCAATTTCCGACACAAGACCCACATACCCCCAATAACTTTTTCACCAGTTGGAGGGGAACCAGATCACCAGTTATATGAGCTAACTGAGATGCATGCTCATTAGTCATAGCCTCCAACCATAAAGGTTTTTCTTTTGGACTGGCCATGGCTTCCGACATGGTAACCGGTTGAACTAGATTGACGATTTCTGGCTGTTGATCAATAGCGGAAGATGCCTGAGGCGGTTGTCGACGCTTGGTAGAAACAATATTGGACGGGTCAACATCCCCACGAATTTCCTTCAGAGGACTATGATTTTCAACATACTCCCAGCTTGGCTTAAGTCGTCCCAAAGCTGAAGCCGGCAAATTGAAATGTCAACCCTGATTGGGTGGAGCATCCAAGGAATTGTTGACATTGGTCGGTCGTTCCGAACCACCAGTCTGAAGTTGTTGACGAGCAAGTTGTTTCTTCTTAGCGGCGCGTTGAAAAACTCGAGCAGCATGCGTTTCCAATGACAGATCAGAGTCACCATCGCCAGAAGATTGATTTACGGACTGCACATCGCTTCCTTCACCCTGATCATCCGTTGATTTCTCGACTTCGTGTTCCGCCGATGATTTTGAACTGATTGATTCCGATCTAGACACTCTTCCCGGAAGACGGGTTGTTAACCGAGGAATTTTACTGTCTGAGTCTGAAATGAGTTGAGGTAACAACTTCAAATCCTTCTTAAGTGGATTGATATTGTTGTCAATTGCCACACTCGGAACCACGTAATCTCGACTAATCACAACTCGATGCACCAGGGGGTCATAAAAGCGCGCCGCATCTGAATACGGTTCAAAACCCAGAAACAATAAATCCACTCCTTTTGGAAGAACCTTCAAAGATTCGGGGCGATGTACAACCACTCGAGCGCCAAACGGAACCAACGGCATATTTGTTCGATCAGGCTCGATTAGTGAGTTATGTTTGACAAGAACTGACGTTGGCGACACCCAATTGATTGACGAATGCGGAAGAACATTTAATAACGTCGACGCATGACAGACTGCCTCGTGCCACATTGATTGAGGCACTTGCGACTGTAACAGCATACATTTAATCTTCTCAAGCAACACGCCATTGAATCGTTCAGACACCCCATTAGTTTGAGGAGAATCGGCTGGTCCACGCTCAACTGAAATGCCGTGTTCTCGGAGTTTTGTAAGAAACTTGGTTGAACTGAATTCACCGCCCCGATCACTATGAAGATATGCAGGAACCCGCTGAAGCTTGTTTTTTAATTCTTCAATCATGCCCAACAGTTTGACTTCGGATTCAGACTTCGATTTAAGGAGATAAACTCGATTAAAACGTGACGCGTCATCAATAACAACCAGGACGTAGCGAAAACCAAGTTTTGACGGTGGCGAAATTTGAAGAACATCCGTATGGAGCCGATGAAAAGGAATGGTTGATGAAGGCAAGTTTCGGCTGTGTGGTGTCCGATGTATCTTGGCCTTCATACATATTTCGCAGTCCTTAGATTTAGTCGACTCCGAAATAGACACATTTTTGTGACGACCAAACAATTCAA